CGAAAATCATGACCCCACTGACTAACACAATGTGCCTCATCTATCACAAAGCGTCCCAAGCATTTTCGACTATAGAGTGATCCAATTATATCAATAACCCGAGTACTTCTTTTAAACATTTCAGGTGTCAAGTAAAGTAGTGCAGTTCTAGGCTTGGGTCTCTCAAGTTCACTAAAAACCATAGTTCGACGACCTATGTCTTGATCTCCTTGCAATTCCAGGGCATTAATTCCGAGTTGACTTAGACGTAAAATTTGATCTTGTATAAGTGACAATAGAGGTGATATTATGATGGAGACTTTATTGTGCCTCATGTTATCCAACACCGCCGGCAATTGATAACACAAACTTTTACCTCCTCCAGTTGGCATCAGCATAAAAACATCTTCACCATTTAGTGTTGCAGTGATGGCCTCTAATTGTTTATATCGAAAGTTTTCTAATTTAAAATCGCGACGCAAAACATTAAAAATATCGGGGTCCACATGATCCATTATTTCTGGTGTCGGTACTGATGCAGCGGGTTCAGGCATTGTGTTACTTGAGCAATTGAAACTGGAGGATGTGTCCGCACGACAAGTATTGCTCACTTGAAAATTGTTGAAATACGATGACCGTGTTTCGAATGAAGTTTCATAAGTAGATGAGTGTGCTGCAGTAAAGCAATCTCCATTTGAACCTCGTTCCATAAAGTTTGTGCTACCGAAGGCTTTTAGTTTGGACTCGATTATTTCAATCCGAGCTTTGCAACTGTCCCGCTTTTCAGTTAACAATTTCAACCGGTGATCATCACCTTTACCGTTACACCACAACTCCGTTATCTCGTCTGCGGTTTTATATTGGATTAATCTAGTCAACTTTAGACATTCGTTCAACTCACCATATGACATTTTTTCAAGATCTTGATTATTCTCTTGCCAAAAATCAACCAAAAGGTTGATGTTCTCCAATTTCGTGAAGTCTGAACCTAAATCTAATGTCGGAAGTTTTTCAATTTGGGGAACTTGCCTTGCATTCTGTGAACATAAATTATTTCGTTGAAGTTCTGCCTCTCTCTTCGAATTTTCTTCATCCAATAGCATCCTCAATTCCTCTTCGCTAAATAGTTCATAGTCACAAAGTAAATCATCTTGACACATTAGGTTACTATTATCATCCAAATCTATAGCCGTATCTATACAAGAACCCACAGTTGGCTCTGTTGCCGAATTATTGTTAAATCTTTTGTGAATAGTTGAATTTGGTGTAATGTCACAGCTTAAGGATACACCCGAATCACGAGATCTAAATCGCTCCATGTCTCTTTTCGGTTCCTTCCCGTTGCAAAACAAATCATCATCCAAGCACATATTCGTTTCGTTATCTAGGCTACTATCCAGATTAGTGACCGTTGACAATGAATTCGATGGCTGTACTGCATTAAAAGAATCTTGATCACGTGACTTTATACTCTGCCATTTATCGCTAGTGCTTTTACTGGGCGCGATAGGTCTTGCCTCATTAGCCGTAGGAAAATATTCGCGTCGTTTCGTTCCGAGTCCACGCATCCACTCGAGGTGGACGTCTAGGTTATTCCTTGGAACCTGTGCGGTGTACATTCTTACAACAACACTACAGAATAATTCTTCAAGTATGATAAAAGTTTCGCTTAAAAGTTCCACCGAAATGATCGTTCTCTATAGTGGGAGGCCTCTCAAACGGAATAATTACCTTTATATAAGAAAAAAGAATAGTTAGCGCCCAACGGTTTTTTCCTTAGGAGGGGAGAGATAAACATATCCACCTTAGTCGAAGAAATGAAGTGTCTGTTTATATAGATTTGAAATTGTTTGCACGTGACTGCATTCTGTTAATCAGACGCGAGATCCAAAATACTATTTTATCAATTTTTTTTTCAACTAGCGTAAAAAACATACGTGTTCTGAAATGGGAAACGCCCTCTCCCTGGACAACTCAAGCGTCCAACAATCTTAATCTCAGAGTTGCATGCGATCCTGTGTTACGCACTTGAGCGGTTACCAATCATAGTTGGTCGCATTGAAACCATAATTGTCGTAGTTTTAATTTCCGGGTCCGAAAAATCCCCAAAATTAATTACCATATTATTAAACAAGCATTGCCATTATGGTGTGAAATTCATGAATCGTTCGAGGATAATTTAGGGAAGTTGCAAGTAAAACGAAGATATTGAAAGTCTTGCAGACATGCTTGACTCTTGACAAAGAAAACTGGCAGTTTAGAACACAACGTGACAAATTTATAAGCAACTCGCATAATTATTGTGCATGTGATACATTATTAAAAAACAATCAGTTTAAACTCACGAAGCCATGTGATTTCTCGTCTTTTATGACAAACAATATCTGTATTTTCTTTAATAATGATAATATTAATTTATTCTTCTTCTTTAAATTATAATTTCATATATACAGAATGCAAAGTTCAAAAATTGAAAATTATAACAAATAATAATATTATTATCTATATACAATCTGTATATTGATACATTTATTTGTCTTTGATAAAAAAACAATAATACAATAAAATTGCTCTATTAAGAGTTAAACATTTTTCAAAATAATAAATAAATACTTGTCAATAAGTTATAAATTTATATCTAATTCTTGAATTTTTTTTTTTTTATGTTAAGATAATTCTTAATATCAATAATGTTCTATTGCTCTTATAATTTAATTGTTTACAAACTATTTTATTATCAGAAAATAAATCTATTAAGCTATTATTATATAATATTAATTATTTAAAAATTTTCAAATCCTTACAACTTCTTAAAAATTATAAGAAATAAAAAACTTATTTTTTTAAAAAAAAAATCATTATAAAAAACACTTAATGTTTTGATTTAAAAATTTATAATAATAATAATTATTATTATTATTAATTTCAAACAAACATGAAATACAAGATATTTATTAAACTTTGGTTTATTATTATTGTATTAACAATCTTATTATATAGAATAAATAAATTAATTATAGTTTATTGTAACTATTCAATTAATATATGATAGTATTAAATAGATATTTACATATTAAAGATATTAAATAATTAATATCTATTCAAAACAATAATACTATAATTGATATAAAAAATTTTTTTCAATAAAATTGTCAAAAGTTTTTGTTATATTAAATATTTTTAAAAGTGTTTGAATTTTGTTAATTAATATTAATAATACTAATAATTTTGATTTTTTTTTATTTAATTTCTAATAATATCAAAGTGATGACTATTTCAAAATATCAATTTTATATTTAATATAAAATTTTAAGAAAATAATTTAAGATTTCTTTTTTTTTTATAAGAATTTTAAAAAAAAATCTAAACTTTTTTAAAAATAAATTAAAAAGAATTTAATTGTTAAATTAATAATAAAAAAAAAATTAATTTTATTTAAATTAAACTTTTTTAAAAAAATATTAATAAAAATAAATGTTTGAAATTTGGTTATTGTTTTTTTTTTGAAAAAACAGATGGTCTTTATATTTTATTTTATTTTATATTTTTAAACTTGCAATATAATATTTATAAATCAATAGCATGATATATATCTTTTTTAGTCAAGAAGAATTAAATATCAGACTTATCAAAGTGCCCTTTTCATTTAAACTTTTTAGCATCACCCAAAAATATTAAAAAATAAAATTTAAAATCTATATTAAGCTTTGAATAATATTTAACTACCTAAAGAATTTTGATTATCTAATTATATAAAAATATTATAACCATAATATACATGTTAATCTTCAAATCATAATTAGGATTGGCATATTTGCTTTTCAAATGTGAATTGATATATAACAAACAGAAAATATATTCCACCTTAAACTTTATCTGAATAACTTGCTCAAATAGCTAAATAATCACTATCCTAACTAGAATATTCAGTAGAAATTGATCTTTTATATAATTATCTAATATTTAACCTTCTCTACTCTTCTAGAATTGTGATAGGTTATCTGTTACTCAAGCCTGTAACAATTGTTTATATCTATAACAAGTAAGGAAGGGGTAGCTGTTTTTCACAAGAAGCTTTGTACATATAGCTGTACTATTCAAATATTTGAATAAGACTTAGAACAAATATAAAATAGAAGAAATAGAAAAGAAATATTGAATATATAGTAATAGTTGTTAAAAAAAGTTGTTGGATATAATAGAATTAAAATTTCTTATAAATGTTATTATCTAATCTTGTATATCAAAACTTGTATTGTCAAAGAGGTGAGTAAAAAACTTTTATTATTGTTACTAGTAAGGATCCAAACGATTCTATTTAGAATCGAATTTAAACAATTCAATTCAATTTAATTCTTTTATTTAAAAAATTAAATAAAATTTTGATTCGATTTAATTTAATTCAATTTGATTTTATTTGATTTTATTTGATTCAATTCAATTCGATTCTATTCAATTTAATTCTATTCTATTTGATTCTATTTGATTCTATTCTATTTAATCAATTTAATATATAAATATATTTTAAGATGAATGTATTACATTGTACAACTTTATTAATATATAATATTTAGTTAAACATCAAGTTTTTACTATATATGAAGTATACAGTCAAACTTTTTTATATCAATATGTCTGGGCCAGTTTATTTGTATCATTATAACCAGTTTATTGATATAAAAATTAACTTTTTACTATATATTATAATAAATAGATAAACAAAATTATATCATTATAACCAGAAATTGTTATAAAAAATATCGTTATAAAGATATTTGACTGTATATAAAACATTAATTATATCTAATATCTTTTATATAAATTTAATATACTGTATATATGTACAGTATATACAGTATGGTGCAAAAAATTTTAGAATATTATTTATATAATATAAACACGTATAACTTTTTCAAAACAAAAGCAA